TTCGGGAGAAGGCCTTGTGAGTTGTTTTAGCATCTCTCGATGAAATTATTGGGGATTACAGGATTTTTTTTCTTCTTCTGGGCACTTTGTTGATATCAGATTATTGGATTGAAGTAACATTCTGCCACTTGGCAACATTTGCAAACTGCAAATGGTTGAAGTTTTTGCTCTATATATTTATTTCTTGCTATAAGAATATTATTTTATGTGGTAGGTACCTGAGGGATTTGAAATGTGTGTTCGTTTGATGCTGCCTGGAGAGGTTTCTCTTGTAACATGTCCTCCAGAATATGCGTATGACAAGTTTCCTAGGTTACTTTCCGAAGTCTAGTTTACACACAACAATTCTCCTTGATTGTCTATACCTTGTATTTAGTGCTGTATCATGGATGGAATACTCCTGTAATCTTCACATTTACTCTTTTTCTTCCGTTTTATCCCAACACTCTAGGCCATCTAGTGTTCCTGAAGGCACTCATGTTCAGTCGGAGATTGAGCTTCTGGGTTTTGAGACGCCAAAGGTACTTTTCTTGAGCATTACGAAATTAAATTGAGAAGAAACAAGAAGAAATTGTAATCTTCAAAATTTGTAATTTGACTCAACTTTGTTAATTATTTTTCATGTTTTTTCTTGCAGATTTTAGATGTGTTATTACTATTTTTTTTTATTACTTGCTAGAAAAAGAAAAAAAAAAAATACGTTGTTAGTAGTTGTTGACTTTCAAAAAATAAGCTACTTGGATTTCAGAGAAACTGTCACATACTTGACCGTGGTTAGTTACTATTTTGAGTTCTCATGATTTTATGTTGGGGTTTGACCATCTACATTAACTAGCGCTGTGTCAATTGAACTCTTTTACAACCTTTACGTGTCTGGATCAAATTCTCTCAAAGTTCTCGTGTATCGATCTTTAATTTCCTTATATGTTTGAGTTCAGAGACTGTAAAAACTTTAACATGATCGTGTAAATTTTGATATATATATCTAATATACGTATTTATATATGTATATATTTTTTCTTTCTTGAAAATGTGGATTCAGACTTCCTCTTTCACCAATCAAATGTTGAGAATGTGTTGCAATATTCAAATCATTGTTGTAGGATTGGACTGATATGAACTTTCAGAGCATAATGGATGATGCAGAGAAGATCAGAAGTACGGTATGCATTGATAATGTTTGATTATTATTTGTATATTTACCTACGTGCATGTATCACATTTTACACTTGGTATTATCTGTCCCTAGTTTTTCCTCTTTTTATGTGGCGTTATTAATTACGGATCATTTGATGTTAAATGTTTGACAATCTCTTTGTTTCCAGGGTAACAGGCTCTTCAAAGAAGGTAAATATGAACTTGCAAGGGCAAAGTATGACAAGGTAATGTTTGATACTCATTTTGTTAGATAAATAAAATAAGCTTGCAATTATCCAAAATATACGAAATCATTATTGGTCATACTCATTGGTTTAAAATGATGTAACAAAAGTATGGAATGTTTTAGTTCTCTAGCGATCTATTTGTTCCTTACCACTTGAGTTTTTTGTGTTTCGTATGCAAATATCCAGAGACTCTGGTTATTAGTTAAATCTGGTTACTAGTTCCGATCATGTTTTAAGTTTTTTCCTGAGAAATGAGAATTTAATTTGTAAACACTTTCTTTGCACTTGCCATTATGATTTCCCATAATGCCGTGAAGTTGTTGCTGTACAGGCGCTTCGAGAATTCAATCATGTTAATCCACAGGATGATGAGGAAGGGAAAGTGTTTGTAGACACACGTGTTAAGTGTTTCTTTTACTATTGTCCTTGCCTTCTCTGGTTCATCTTCTCAAACTATATCAACCTATTTGATATTGATTTTCTCTTGAATTTGGATGTTTGAAGAATTTGTTAAATCTGAATGTGGCTGCCTGCTATCTGAAGATGGGTGAATGAAGAAAATCAATTGAGACGTGCAACAAGGTATTTCTCGTGTCTCGAAATTTCATGCATGCTTAATCTCTTACCAAGCCATTAAGCCTAAGAAGTAATTTTATGATCATACAAGACAATATTAGAAGCAAAAGAAACCAGCTTGGTTCTCTGAAAGCAGCCTGTTATTTTCTGCATATGATCATTATAGGCCCACTTAAAAACTGCTTCAATTTAAATTGTTGATGTTGAACACGGATGGTGCATTTTCTTTCTTCTTTCATTGGTGTTGGGGGAAGGAAGGATGGTATAATAAAAGGTTTAAAAAAATGTCACCTATAATATGTGTGGTTAGCAATTAACAAAGAAGTCGAATAATCTTGGCTAAAATCTGTTTTAAAAAAAAATAAAGCTGTTTAGTTGTTTGGGCCTTGTTTCTGACTGATTAACAGGTCAAGATTGAGCTTTGGTTAATGCTTTTCACTTCTGTTTGCATTTGGTAACCACATAGGTCTTAGATGCAAACCCTGCTCACGTCAAGGCTCTGTACCGCCGTGATATGGCCTATATGGCAGCCGGAGATTTCGAGGAAGCAATGACTGATTTCCAAATGGTAATTTTTCATGCAATTGTTAACTTATCAAGTTTTCGAGACTTTATTCTTGATGTTTCTTAATTACTTCTGGATATCTTTTAGATGATAAAAGTAGACAAGTCGTCAGAATCTGATGCAAAAGTTGCTCTACTAAAGCTGACACAAAAGAAGCTGGTGATTTTATCGTTCTTGAGGAAGCAATGACTGATTTCCAAATGGTAATTCTTCATGCAATTGTTAAAGTTATCAAGTTTTCGATACTTTATTCTTGATGTTTCTTAATTGCTTCTAGATATTTTTTAGATGATAAAAGTAGACGAATCGTCGAAACCTGATGCAAAAGCTGCTCTACTAAAGCTGACGCAAAAGGAGCAGGTGATTTTATCGTTCCCTTGGTAGTTCCATTTGTTGTGGAGATTCCATGCATCACAAGACACATAAATTCTACGTATATTTCTCGCCATTTGTTAAGCAGGAAGTTGAGAGGAAAGCTCGAAAGCAGTTCAAGGGACTATTTGACAAGAAGCCAGGGGAAATTTCAGATGTTGGAACAGAAGATGGAGGAGGTTGGACTCGAGCGAAAGAACAGCAGGATGAACAGGTTGCTTCAGATAGCAATAGTTCTGAGGAATCTCATGAAGCTGTAAATGATCCGCGTCAAGAGAGTTGGTTCTCCCACATTCTGGCCTTCTGGGAGACTATTTTCCGCTCTTGGCCTGCAAAAATGTACCATTTTGTGATTATTATGAGGGAAAAAAATGTCATAGGTCAATTCGTGTTACATGTTATGCTCCTGTCGTATTTTGATTATTTCTTTTTAAATTTACAGTCAATTTGAATACAATCCATGACACGAAATTTTTTAAAAACCGTAACACGAACACGACACGACACGAAAATGACCCGTGACACTAAATTGACCAGTAAACCCGAAATTGACACGAAAATTATATACTTTTATTTAGTTTTTTACATATTAGAAATAACTTAAAATTCATAACACACTAAAATACAATAACATCCATTGAAATTAAGTAAATAATAGTATAAGATTTTGAGTATAACTATCATGATATCACAAGTTTATAATAAAATAAAAAATATGTAATAAAAAATATTTGTATTTTTTAGTTTTTTATAAGTTTCGTGTCGTGTTCGGGTTAGGCGGGTCTAACCCGAAATTGACCCGTGTTTTTCGTATCAATTTCAGGTCGACCTAATTCTGACATGAACATCTTTTTTCTCAAGCTTAACCTGCGAAATTCGTGTCGTTTTCGAATTATATTATCGTGTCGTGACCCATATTACTGACCCTAGGTATTATCTATTTGTGGTTGTATTCTGCGTCATTCCAATACATTAGGCAAACTGAGCTAATTGGTTTAGTTTAAAATTATGCTCCACAGAGAGAACTCATTTTGATATAACGGTTCCATAGAAAGTGTGAAATACAGAGTAAAACTTCGTTCATTTTACCGATTTGAGTTTTCAGTTTTAAGTTTTTATAATTAAAATTTCTTAGAAAATATCACAGTTAATTTTTTTTACTACAGTTAAAAACTCTAAGAAAATATTACATCTCAATTCGAATTAAAAATTTAAATCCGTAAAGCGAACGGCCGGGCCCGTTCAGTTCGCTAATTCGAGTTTTTAATTCGAGTTGAGATGTGATGTTGTGTGAGAGTTTTTTACTGTAGTAAAAAAGTTAGATGTGACTGTTTCTGAAAACTTTTTACTGTAACAAAACTTGAATTTTAAACTCGAATCAGCGAAATGAACGGGCCTTCTCACTTTCTCAACCTGAATAAAAGGTGAGAAGGCATTATTAGTTGAAGTTAAAAAGAGAAAACAGAATGCCCTTATTTGGGCTAGATTCATAATTTCTATTCGGGAATCTTCTGAACAATGTTCTTTTTTCTCTTTGGAAATTGTATGAGTGACAAATGTGTATATTATCAATGAAGCTCTATTTTTCGTGTATTATATTTTTGTCAGTTTTGTGTGCCTTTTTATTTTAATATATGGTTTTTTATCTAATCAACACTCGGAAACATTTACCACATAAAATGCTCCTTTACGGTAAAAACTCGCTTTTTTTTTTCTTTCCTTATAGTAGGAATTAGTGCTTTAGCAGTTATATAATTTTTTTAACCGTTAGTTGTAGCATAGCATGTAACATAAAATTATTCTTAATTATAAATAATATTGTTAAAAAATTAATCTAACAGTTTTTAATTTATCTCTTTTAAAAATAAATAAAAAAATAATCCCGGTAAAACTAAGCAAAATTAAGCAACCGTTTAATTCACTGATTCGAGTTTTTAATTTGAATTGAGATGTAATTTTATGTGAGAATTTTTTATTATAATAAAAAATTAAATGTGACTGTTTCTGAAATCTTTTTATTATATTAAAACTCAAATCGGTGAAATGAACTGAGTTATATTTACCGAATTTTTGAAAAATCACTCTTACTAGCCACTCACACAGTCACACTACACTCCACGGATGAAGGTGTAAAAGATAATGGAAGTTTCTCTCGCCACCCACGCTATCTCCTCCTTCTCCGTCACCGGAAAACACCATTCCGGCGCCATTAAAGCTGCCAATTTTCTTCCTTTATCCCTAAACTCTCCATCGCCGCAGACACCGGCTTTCGACAACTCCACCAATTCCGCCAATTCCTCACACCTCTCCGGCAAACTCCGCCGTCCCAAAACCCTCAAGACGACCACCTCTCCCTCTCCCAAAATCCCCTCAAACCCTCTCAAATCCCTCGCCCAACCAAGCACCGACGTAAATGGCTCTCGCTCTCTCACCAATAAGCTCTGGCTCACCAGCAAGCTCTCTCCGCCGGCGCCGAATCCTGCGGAGATTTCCCGGGAAAGTGACGGGGAAGCCGGGGAGAAGGAGGTTGAGGAGAATGCGGATTCGCCGAGGGTTGAGTTCCGACAAGAGGGGAAGATATTCGTGGGGAATCTGCCGAGCTGGATCAGGAAAAACGACGTCGCCGAGTTCTTCAGGCAGTTCGGGCCGATTAAGAGCGTGATTCTGATCAAGGCTCACGAGAAGACGGACAGAAATGCGGGGTTTGGGTTCGTGCTGTATGGTGGCTCGACGGCGGCGAAGTCGGCGATGAAGGCGGTGGAGTTCGACGGCGTGGAGTTCCACGGGAGGGTCCTGACTGTGAAATTGGACGATGGAAGGAGGTTGAAGGGGAAAATGGAGGAGAGAGAGAGGTGGATTGGAGGGGACGATGGGGTTGAGTATCGTTCAAAGTGGCATGAAGAGAGAGATGGTTTAAGGAAGGAGTTCCGGAAGGTTGTCGAGACCGAACCGGAGAATTGGCAGGCGGTTGTGGACGCTTTTCAGAGGATTAAAAAGGTGAAATTTTTAATTTTTTTTTTCTTTCTAATGCCATTGTTTGTTTGATGGATTCATAGTTTTAGAAAAAGAATTGTTCTTTATCATTGAAGAGGATGATTCTACTAGTTTGTCTTGTTTTAAGTGGTTTCTCTTAGTATTTGTGTATAGATTACTTGTTCCTTGAGTAATTTTGATCAAGACTCATTCGTTATCGTTGAAGAAGCAGAATTCTAGATTGTTTTTGTTCAATTTAATTATGCTTTTGCTTTATATTTATTTGCAGTCTCTTGTTTGTTCATTGTTTGGCTTGGTTGAAGTGTTTTTGCGCGTTTCTGCCGTTTGCATTTTAGCGCCATTGTTTGTTCATTTGGCGCAGTTGATTCCTTTTGGAAATAGTTTTAGGCAAGACTCGGTTATTAATCGCTGAATATGAAAGTGTTTAGTGTGAATAGTTTCATTATTTTTGCTTTGTGTTTGTGGTTTGTACCTTTGATATATTGTTGGGAGGAGAATTGGTTCTTTAGAAAGAAAGAAGAGATGTTGTCTTCTTAGGTTATTCTGATTGTTTTTGTCTGTTAGACATTTCTGTGCTACGTAAAGCGATCTATCCTTTGCAGAGTGCAACCATAATATTCATGGTATTAGGTAATAATCTTTTGCTACTTATTTTCTTAGGCTCTAAAAGTACTCTTTTTGAGTTATAGTATATATTTGGGAATGAAGATGCTTCTCTAGCATCTCTAATGCAATGCTAAATTAGTGTGCCGTTGCTAAATTTTAGCATCGAGTGGGAAAATCTCTCTCGAAATTTGTAGTTTGCCACCAAGTATGGCATATGGCAAATTTTTCATTTGATTGCGATATGTTTACCTTTTCATTTAATCATTACAACATTTTTATTTTCAAATTGTCATAAAATTAAAACTTTACTTCTTATAGCTTCCAAAGTTTAGTGGACGTTTGGTTCATAGATTCAGAATTATGATTCAGAACCATTCTCGTTTTACATATGTTTTTTGTGAGAGAAAAATACTGTAGAGAATCATGAATCATGATTAAAATCATGGACGAATACAGGAAACAAACGTCCCCTAACGATAATGGCAAACGTAGTTTAGCATTTGAAATAGCACTGTGTATTAGAGCACAAATGAAAATAACATATCAAGTATATCATTTTCATACTATTTGATGCCAAATATGCAATTGATTATAGCATTTGCATTGCAGATGGTCTAAATGGTGTATGGGTTTAAAAAAAAGATAATAATTGGTCTAAGCTTTCAGCTAGGGCGCATAATTTGGTAATCAATATAAATTGACCAAACTTCTATTTACTTTTTGTGGATAAGATATAACTGCGATGACTCTGGTATCCATGAAAGCATGTTTCCATTTTAACGAAAAAAAGAGAACACAAAAAAAAAAAAGCTTATGATGGATTTTCTTATATATAATAGCCCTCTAGAAGAGAATACGGCTTGATGGTAAAGTATTATGCAAGGAGAGGTGACATGCATCGTGCACGGGAAACTTTTGAGAGTATGCGGGCAAGGGGAATAGAGCCATCATCGCATGTCTATTCAAGGTATCACATTATAAACACTGATATAGCAGCTATAACTGGCTAAGTTTTATTTTCAGTTAAATTCATTTTATGATATATAATTTGATGGTCAATTTCATTGAATTTCTGTAACTCAATGGTAATTTCTCTGAGTTTTTGTAAGTTGATGGTAACTTTATGCGAGTCATCCTCCTCTACTACCTCGTGTACTAAGTTCCTGAATTTTTTGCATGTACTGGAGTTCTGAATTGAGAATATTCTTAAGTGCATTGACAGAATTTGATCTCACTCTAAATTCTGAAAAATGACTTTTTCATTGGTAATAGATCGTGCATACATAAAGTTGATCCAAATTAGTTTTAGTACAATCTTGCATGCTTTGCTTGGGTTTACGCAATAATGAATAATGATCAGCTTAGATTAATTTTACTGGTATTTTACCTGTAACAATCAATTAGTATGCCTTTGTGAAGAGCCTTGCCATCAAATCCTGTTAAACAACAGGCTTTAATCAAGACACTTTCTACAACCTGGGAAAATTGAGGAACTTGCTTGGTGATTCTAGAAGTGCAAGGAATAAAATTGATTTAAACACTCGTCTCTCTTTAGCTTATAAGCTAATTTTCGCTATATAAGATGCAGTAGACAGGTACTTTTGGGCATGTCTTTATTGTGCATTTTTCACCACTCAAGTTATGTAGTTACCATACTCAAAATTATGAGGTTTAAATTATTAAACATCCAAATTAGTCTCCATCATGTATGCAATAATATTGTCCCGGTCGAAGTTTTTCTAATTAAATTTGAGTGTGAAAAACGAAATACAGTTTAAGGTCTATTTTGTTAGTTTTCTGTGATTTTGCGAATATATATTTGAGATTATCCTTTTCCAATCATTGAAGAATTTATATTACATGCAGCCTTATTCATGCGTATGCAGTTGGCAGAGACATGGAAGAAGCATTATCTTGTGTTAGGAAAATGAAAGAAGAGGGCATTGAGATGAGTTTGGTGACTTACAGTATAATAGTGGGGGGATTTGCAAAAATGGGCAATGCTGAGTACGTAACCATATAGTTTTTTCAATTACACACGTTTCTCATTCATTAATATTTAAGAGACATTAGCCACATTACACTTTTTTAATTTTTTTTTTGGCAGAACTTCCATTTGCAGTTGTTATAGTAACACAGTCCTTTTTAGTCATAGTCACGTTACACTTTTTTAATTTTTTTTGGTAGAACTTCCATTTGCGGTTGTTATAGTAACACAGTCCTTTTAAGTTATAGCACCACTGCTAGTTGTGCACTTTTGCGGTTGAGATATTGGGTTTTGATTTAATTGTTTTTGGAAACTTCTTATATGTTCTGTTTATTAATTTGATGTTCCTGGATATTCTTTTTTGAAAGAGCTGCAGAGTTCTGGTTTAAGGAGGCCAAAGAGAGACACATTACTTTAAACGCAATCATTTATGGAAATATAATATATGCTCATTGGTGAGTATTCACAATTTTAGTTTTACGTTCCTCGTAAGTTTTGTTTCATTATGTTCTAATTGGTTACTTCATAAACAAATAATTGAATTTTTTTGGAATTACATTGCCAAAAATGTAAAAATAAGCAAGCTATTATTAAATGTATTTCTGATTCCTGGTTTGCTTCTACTGTTCTACATAGTTCAGTCTTGAACTATTGCTGTTTGTAGACCTCCTAATCTGCGTGGGCTACTCTCTATCTTCTTAACCTTTTAACGCTCCACATTTGACAAATTTCAGTCAAACCTGCAATACGGAAAGAGCTGAGGCGTTGGTGCGGGAAATGGAAGAAGTAGGCATAGATGCTTCAATTGACATTTATCATACCATGATGGATGGTTACACGATGATCGGAAATGAAGATAAATGTTTGGTTGTCTTTGAACGGCTCAAGGTAAACTCGTGCGATAGTGTTGCTTTTGTCTAAGGTTAAACATACATATTCGTACATCATGTACACACAGAGTTGGAGACACAGAGGCATATTTCATATACCAGATGTAGTCATTATTTTTCTGTATTCCAAGTATGTAAATACATTTTTGTCTACTTTAGGACATTAGATATTCAGCATTTTCCTTTGCTTCTGGGGTTCATGCTTGAAGCTTTCCATGCCACTGAGTACTGCCTGGTGCAAAAATTATCAACTACAAATTATGACTTATTTTTTTTCCTCTCTCTCATTCCCTAACTTTTGCTTTATTTTCTTAGGAATGTGGCTTTACACCATCAGTTATCAGTTATGGATGTCTGATCAATCTTTATACCAAGGTATTGCATTCTTTATCCTTGTATGCTAATTTGAACTTTTATCTGTCCAATATTTGTATGCCATTGTGTCATTAGTTTTGATTATCTTTTACATCTATTAGTACCTTATTATTAACAGCATGTGCATTCTTTCAGGTTGGAAAAGTTTCGAAGGCCTTGGAAGTTAGCAAAAAGATGGAATCTGCTGGCATAAAGCATAACATGAAGACTTATTCCATGTTAATAAATGGATTTTTGAGATTGAAAGATTGGACTAATGCATTTGCTGTTTTTGAAGATGTTATAAAGGATGGTCTAAAGCCTGATGTAGTCCTTTATAATAACATTATAAGAGCATTCTGTGGTATGGGTAACATGGATCGTGCTGTCCAGACTATCAAAGATATGCAGAAGTCCAGGCATAGGCCTACAACACGTAGTTTCATGCCAATTATACATGGTTTTGCAAGAGCTGGAGAAATGAGAAGAGCTCTAGAAATTTTTGATATGATGAGGATGAGTGGATGCATACCCACTGTACATACTTTCAATGCTTTGATTCTTGGCCTTGTTGAGAAACGTCAGGTAAATTTTGCCGATTACACTTGAAGCGCAGATTTATTTGAAGGCTAAGGTTGTTAAACGTGTCTTGTTTTAATCTGGAGTGCAAAAGTAACACTTTAAGTCCCATAACGTACCATGTCCGAAATGATGCCTGATTTGTTGGTAGATCTTAGAGTTAAACATCATAGCTTTTGGTACCCACCGCCAGTTTAATGTAATCCCTCTTTTGAAAGTAAAGAAATTTAACAACTGGTGCATAATATTCTCTAGTGAGTTTGATCTGTTTATTTTTGGCTTGGAACTTTTTGTAACGCGATGTCTTGAGTTCAGAAGTGTACCCATTTGTGTTGAATGTCTTGCAGATGGAGAAGGCTGTTGAAATAGTAGATGAGATGACACTGGCGGGTGTAAGTCCAAATGAACATACATACACAACTATCATGCATGGCTACGCATCACTGGGTGATACTGGGAAGGCCTTCGAGTATTTTACTAAATTGAGGAATGAGGGCCTTGAACTTGATGTGTTTACATATGAGGCTTTATTAAAGGCATGTTGCAAGGCGGGCAGGATGCAGAGTGCTTTAGCAGTAACCAAAGAAATGAGTAATCAAAAGATTCCGAGGAACACATTTGTCTACAATATACTAATTGATGGGTATGTATTGTTACAATCTTGGGTGTGTGCTAGTGTTGTCAAAAGTTGTTGCTTTCAAATCTCTTTCTTTCCAGGCCTTCTCAAATTTGTGTCTCAAAACATTTGAGCATTATTTGGTTCTCTCTCTCTCTCTTTCTCTCTCTCTCTCAGCTAGGAGAGCATAATTGGAAGTTACCGTTTTATATTTTTCTTCTTCTCCTCCTTCTCCTCTATCCAAGCTAAGAGTGCATAATTGGAATTTACATTTTATACTTTTCTTCTCCTTAATTGACTCCTTATCTGACTTCTGGGGTTACGTTTTATATTTTTCTTCTCCTCAATTGTCTCGTTATGTGACGTCTGGGGGCTCAACTTGGTTATTTTTTCTGGTAGATGGGCTCGAAGAGGTGATGTTTGGGAGGCTGCTGACCTGATGCAACAAATGAAACAGGAAGGCGTTCAACCTGATATCCATACCTACACATCTTTCATAAATGCTTGTAGCAGAGCTGGGGATATGTTGGTATGCTCTTTAAATACTAGTCTCTATTTTGGTTTACACAGAGGTTACAGATAAATCTTGCTATTTTAGTTCAGTAGACTAGAAATGAAGTTATACTGAATTTTAAAGGTCCTGTTGTTTTCTGAATGCTAGATTCTATGATGCCAATTAATGGTTGTCTTCTAGTCCTCTTTTCTACATTAGATCTTAGATCCGGTTGGGGTTTTTTCCTCGCTTGTTTTTGGAGAAACTATGACTAAACTATGACTCTGCTTTTAGCCTTTGCGATTTATTTTATTCCACAGAATGTGCTTTAGCTCGTCTTGTATAAGAAATTAAAGTAAATACGTTTCTTTCCTGTTTTTTTCTGAGAATCTTCTGAAATTTGCAAGCGATGGGTTGTTATTTTTCCCATTCTTTTACTGGCAGTGTTTTGGTTAGCTAAATCATGGTCTCTTTTTGCAACACATGGAAAGCTGAATGATTTTGTTTTGTTTTAAGCTCCTTAATTAAGTTTGATAGTTGCCATTTTATTTTTAAATGGTTTTTGTTTCATTGCAGAGAGCTACAAAAACGATCCAAGAAATGCAGACATTTGGGGTAAAGCCAAATGTTAAGACCTACACCACGTTGATAAATGGTTGGGCACGTGCTTCGGTACCGGAGAAGGCTCTGAAATGCTTTGATGAGATGAAGCTGACAGGGTTGAAGCCAGACAAAGCTGTATACCACTGCTTGATGACATCTTTGCTGTCAAGGGCTCAAGTTGCCGAGTCTTATGTTTACTCTGGAATTCTTTCAATTTGTGGGGAAATGATAGAATCTGGCTTTACTATTGATATGGGAACTGCAGTTCACTGGTCCAAGTGCTTGCGCAAGATTGAGAGGGGCGGCGGGGAGCTTACAGAAGCCTTGCAAAAGACCTTCCCGCCTGATTGGAACATATCTCATGGTTTGGAAGTAACTTCTGATATCGATAGTGATGATGAAATTGACAACGATAATGAGATATATTCTGCTGTCGATACTGACAGTAATGGCGATGGTGATAGTGATGATATGAACCACAGATTATGATTTTGAAGTCGTGTATATTAGTTTTGTCATAGGGGCATAGGGCATGACTTGCATATTAGAGAATGTAAGGTTTATGATTAAATTTAGTTTGACCCTCTTAATGTAACCCATTCTTATGTTTCTTGTACAGATGAAGCACAGTTTCTAACTCAATTCCAAGGCGGCAAACATACGAGTTGTGGATGCTGCATATTTCCGTTGTTTGCTTAATTCATGTAACCCATTCTTGTGTTTCCTATACAGATTATGAAGCACAGTTTCTAACTCAATTCTGAGACAGCAAACATACGAGTTCTCGATGCTGCATATTTCCGTTGTTTTCTTAATTCATGTAACCCATTCTTATGTTTCTTATACAGAATATGAAGCACAGTTTCTAACTCAATTCCATGGCGGCAAACATGTGGGTTGTCGATGCTGCATATTTCCGTTGTTTTCGTAATTCATACTGTCCGTGAGCTCTTATGGTTTCATGCATTTGCTGGAGAAAACGCCTAATGTCCGTCTTTGCCAACTCTCAAAGTTTTAAGTCTTTAGTGTCTATATACATTGGGCCTTAGGAGAGCTTTCTAAAAGCTATTTTTGGCTTCTCAGATCCAAAACTTGCATCTTGAAGTGTTTGAATGATCTGTCAGAAGTGTTTTGACTTTTTAGAAGAGCTTCCACTCAGAGTCAGAATTATGACTTTTAAAAAAAATACTTCTAAATAAATTTTGAATCTTGTGCCAGAGTTTAGTTAAGGCATTATAAACTTAATTTTAACACTTTTATTGTTGATTAGACAATTTAAAAATCATTCTGATTCATTAGGCTCTTAGTTCTAAATACTTATTAAAAAATCACAGTTTCTCTTTTTCTTTTTCTACCGGCTAAAAATAAAAGTAAAAGTTGACATTCTCTATAAACTTGGCGCAGCAGCCTTCCTGGCTAGTAGCTAGTAACTTCGGTCGTGCTATTTCCATTGTTTTGATTGCTTAGCACAAGCTGCTACTACTAATCACTAGAAGCCCTCGTACTTGAAAAAGAAGCTCCTTTTCTCCTCCCCCCGCCCCCCGCCCCCCTCTTTTTGCCCTTGTTCTCTCCGTGATCTTGCTACCAGGAAATGGCCATACTGCTTCAATTCTCACCATTTCTTTATAAAATTTATCTGTCAAAGTGTATTGCAGTCTAAAACCTCGTTCAGTACGCCAATTTAAGTTTTAAATTCAAATTAAGATATGATTTTATGTGAGAGTTTTTAATTATAATAGAAAAAATTAGATATGACTTTTTGTGAGAGTTTTTAACTATAACAAAATTAGAATTAAAAACTCGAATCGATAAAATAAACATAGTCTAATTGTACATTGATAGCAATTTTAACTTTCACTGATTGTATGACATATGCTTAGTATAACTAAAATTATTGTTACAACAATTTTATTGTAACATAAAAATATATGATATTCCTGAATCTCTCTATAAATAATTATGAATTTTCAGATAGAACATTTTCAGTTTTTAGACTGAATTGTGAATTAAACAGGACTTGTAATCTCTGTTATTATTCTTGCGTCAATATGTATTGAAGTTCACCAAAATTCTTTGTTCCTAAATTTCATTGCATTCAAACCATATGTGAGAAAATACTATAACATAAAAATTGAAATACAAATTATAAAAATAATAAAAAAATTGAGCGCTTGATCTATAGATCCCTATAAAAAGCATACAGTATAACACACCCTTTGAATACAAGTCACAAAAATAACAAAAAATAAATTAAAAAAAATAAAAATCAAACTCAGTAATTAGTTTTCAAAAGAAAAACACACTGCATATTGGTGGTGGTGTGGTTCCTTTCTCGTGAAAGATCGTCATCTACAAATCAGAGAAGAAATCCTAGAAGAGGTGAAAAAAATGGAGCGCCTAATTTATAAACCCCTATAAAAATATGAGAAAACTTTCTTTTTCTAAGTTTTATTTGATGTTATTCTCGTCTTTTTTGTTTATTAGCCAGGCGCGCATTAAGCATGTGTTTCTTTCCATCTAAATTTAGACGCCGGTTATGAATTGGTCCCTTAACGCTACAAAATTAATTATGTTTTGTTTTTTTCATTCATTTAAGTTAAGAATTTAAATTAAAAAGTAAATTTATGTGAAAAAATATTGTAATAAAAATTTGAGTTGTAATTTGAACTAACGAAAAGAAAGAGAAGAGTTCATAGACTAATTGACCAAAATTGAAAAATTAGAGATTAAGAGGTTGTTCTTTTGCAATTAAAGTCAGAAAAAGTTTAAACTCGAGTTACAACTTTATTGAAGTTTATATGTTTTTTTTTTTTGTAAAATTTGAGTTTGAACTCGAGTTTAGGGTTACTGTTCTTTTGCCGTTTTTGAGTTAGGTGACTTGAATGTAGATTTTGAGTTGAGTTTGAGTTATAACTTGAGTTGAAGTTGTAACTTGAGTTTGTGTTTGGTTATGTACATTTGAATTATGATTTGAGATAAAATCTTTTTGAGTTTGTGTTTGAGTGAGTCAAAACTTAAATTTGTATTTAGATAGTATTTTAATAAAAACTCAATGTTGATGGAAAATTTTAATAGGGTATATGGGTGGAGTTTTATTCGTCTTTTAGTTGTCAACGCATAGAAAAAAAAATCATCTCAATCAGAATTAAAACGAAAAAGTTATAGCATTTTTAAGAATAGAAAAAATACTGTTCATTAATTGAGTTTGAGTTTTTGAACTCGAGTTGAAGGGGAAACTTGAACTCGAGTTTTAGTCTCAAACTTGAGTTCAAACTTAAAAGAACATGAACTCGAATAAAGTTGTAACTCGAGTTGTTTTTTTTGAGTTTTTAACTCAAAAATGGGGCTGCCAACCAGCCTCTAAACTTGAGTTCAAGTTTCTCCTTCAACTCGAGTTCATAAACTCGAACTCAAGTTAATGAACAATATTTTTTCTATTTTAAAAGTACCATAACTTTTTTGTTTTAATTCTGATTGAGATGATTTTTTTCTCCTATGCAGTCGCAAAGAAAAGACGAATAAAACCCCACCCATATACCATATTAAAATTTTTCATTACCATTGAGTTTTTATTAAAATACTATCTAAATACAAATTTAAGTTTTAATCCACCCAAACACAAACTCAAATAGATTCTCAATTCAAATCATAACTCAAATGTACACATCCAAACACAAACTCAAGTTATAATTTCAATTCAAGTTATAACTCAAACTCAACTCAAGATCATCACTTAAGTCACTCTAACTCAAAAATACAAAAGAACAACCCCTAAAAAACTAGAGACTAAAGACTTTTGTTTGTTTGGACCAAAACTCAAAAAAAGTTTGAACTCAAGTTAAAACTTTACTCAAGTTCATGTTCTTTTGTAAAATTTGAGTTTGAACTTGAGTTTTAACTCGAGTTGGGGCTAAAATCTGAGTTCAAGTTCTTCCTTCAACTTAAGTTCTTAAACTCAAATTCAAGTTAATGAACAATATTTTTTCTATTCTTAAAAACGTCATAACTTTTTTCGTTTTAATTCCGATTGAGATATTTTTTTCTATGCGTTCACAACGAAAAGATTAATAAAACCCTACCCATATACTCTATTAAAATTTTCTATTACCATGAGTTTTTATTAAAATACTGTCTAAATACAATTTTAAGTTTTGACCTATCCAAACACAAACTCAAATAGATTCTCAATTTAAACCATAACTCAAACGTGCACATCTAAACACAAACTCAAATTACAACTTCAACTAAAATTATAACTCACTTAAAATCTACACTTAAATTACTATAACTAAAAAATACAACCGAACAAGCCCTAATTTGTCACTCATTAGTATGTTTAGGGACCCATAGCGCCAATTACTAAAAGAGATGGAAGCAGCAAGGGAAACGACGCCGTTTTAAGCCCAAACCCTATCTCTTCTGACCCAATCTCTTATAACATATCGGTGCAACTTCTCCTCCATTTCACTGCATCACTTTCATATTCCCTCTCTTCAAACTTCTTCTCTTTCGCTAGCCATTACTCGCTCGGCGAACGCGACGGAGCGAGGGAGCTGAGCTCTCGATTTCCCGACCACTTTTCTTTCCCGAATCCTGCTCGTCCCTTTTCCGTTTCCTTGGTAAATTCCATTTTCAATTACAGCTCCAAATTTCTATGAATATTTGAGAATTGCGAGATTTTCTCTTCGATTTCTTTTTTCTCTTTTTTTGGATACTTTGAGCTTTTTTTGTTCTTTTGGCGGTTGGGGTTTCTGATAAAATTGGCTATGTTTGTCTTAGAATCGAGAATTTGGACTGGCTGGAGAGGAACTTGAAATTTCAGTTAGGAACATTAAACAGTGTTGTGTTAGTGTTTCCAGTGATGGTTTTTTTGTTTTGTTTTGTTTTGTTTTTTTTTTTGAGATTACATTTATGATAGAAGTTCATTTTGTATATTCATTTTCGTTTTATGGTTTCCTTTTTGTTCTCGTTTTCTATATCACTTTCAGTTTTGTGTTTTAAAAATACTTTGTTTTGAGTTCCGTTATGTTTATTATTATTATTATTATCATTATTATTACTATTATTATTTTATTCCTCGTTGGTTCACTTATTAGCTTACTCTCATAACTTCGACTATTTTTAGGAGAAGGCGTAATTTAATACTAACTATTTTCTGGGGTTTTTTTTTTTTTTTTTAAATAATAACATGCAAACACAAGGAAAAAGTTTACAAAGCAATTCCTCTTTCTCCCCCGTAGTTTTACTCAAGTTCCAAACACAAGAAAAAAGTGAAAAAAGTATCATTTTCTTCCCTCTTTTTTATTTTTTTTCTTCATACATGTACATTTTTTTCATCATAAAATTAAGGTTCCAAACGGAGTTAAATTTCTGGTTGAAATGACACAATAGAGGAATCCGGTAGAAATGACCCGTTTTGCTCTTTCTTAGAAAACAAAAGAAACAATGAAAAAATTTGACCAGATTAGCTTTGTTCATATGTTTGTCTATTTGATTTAGCTATCAAAGGAAAAGCTATTTTAGTTTTCTGTGGTTGCTGGTGGTGAATTAAAGAAGGATGATTTCTGTAATAAGTCGCGAGGGAAGTCACTCATACTCGTAGCTTCATTAATGTTTGTCTTTGTCTTCCTTATTGCTGAATACAATAGCTTAGATTCGTGAAATACATGATTATCATACAGAAGGAAATAAGTGAGGATTTAGCTAGGTACTTGTTTGTTTTGGTGGGTTTAGCGATTCAATGGAAATGGCTTACACTTCTTTGATTTGGGGTCATCTTTGGATTGTAGTTTATT